CTTGTAATTTTGGACTACAGTTTTATTTGTCCAAATCTATCAATATTAATTATGTAAAACATCTTTGTAAAATAAGCCTATCAGCACACAAATTAAATATTGAATGTGGCAGGTATAACAATATCGAAAGGGGAAACAGATTGTGTACATTATGTAATATGAATGAGGTAGAAGATGAATTTCATATCATTTTGAAATGTCCATGTAATGCTGTCATAAGAGCTAAATTCATCAAAAAATATTATGTAAACCGTACTAGCATGTTTAAATTTATCCAACTGCTAAACAGTAATAGTTAGAAATTAGAAATTTAGGTAAATATCTAGTGGTTACTGTTCGCTCTCCACTATATAATGTACAAATATACTACCTAGACATATTATGTTTGCATGGATGTAATTTGTATTGTACTGTATATATGCTGTAACTGATAAGTCGGACGACTTAAAGTAATAATAAACTTGGGTGTCTTTTCTTTTCTGATAATAAACAGGCATCACTAACTATAATTAGACGAAGTACACACTGGTAGTTGTGGTCTATTGTTCACGTTTCACACCTTTTAGGTAGGTCGACTCCACATCCCCACAGGTAAATCTACCCGCAGGGCAGAACTCGTTGATCAGGGTGTCGATCCTAGGGAACAATAAAAAGCTAGTATATTGATCGAGGGTCTAATCAGTCTAATTAGAAAGGGGAGAAGAGGTTAACAATTTGTGAGAACTTGATGGTCTAGTCGTTTTTGTGATGTGATTTACCTCTCAATGAGAAAATGGTGATGCGTAGCGGCTCAAACAGCCTGGGAATTTGCGAATTTATCGAAGGAAAAAAAAGGAGTCAGTACAGTCAAACGTAACTTACCGTGTTTTCTTGTGTTACATATAAGACGCCACTATAAAAGTTAAAAACGTTTGACAGTGACTAATCCCTTTAGAGAATATCAAAATAAGCCGAACACAAAGATATTGTTTGAGGAACCATCGAAGACGAAAACGTCGATGCTCTTGTATGATCACGGACTTAGATATCTAATCTAATTCCGTGGTATGAGTAAATATCTCACTACACCACTCCATTAGATATTGTAAAATCGATTTTTTTATACGTCAAGGTAAAATCATGTGACTGCATAATATCAGAGACGTTTATTACAATTATTAAACTTTGCAAGTATCGTAAAAAAGTTATTTGAAAACGCTGGCTAGAAATATTGTGTTTGAATAAATATCTGAAGATGTTTTTGAAATTAAATAATGAACTAGAAAGGAGTTCGTGTTTAAATGTGTTAAGAAAGAAACAAATCCTCACACGTCAAAGCCGCCATTTTAACTTGTTTACTCAGAAAAACCTGTATTTTCAGAGCTAAATTATGAAACGTTGCAAGTATTGTAACAACCTCATTTTAATTTCCTGTTAGAAATATTATCAAATAATTAATTTCTGAAAACTTTTTTGAAATTGTCTAAAGAACAAAAACGGAGTACGTGTTCTCCTGAGGCCAGAATCACTACCGATATGTAAACACGGCCACGATGTGCACTCTTTCGATGTTTGGTGTTTTCAGAGAACTAAAGTAAAGGTCCCGTTAATTTAGGTCTATGGTGTTTTCTAAACTTAATCATTCAAGTTTACATTCAATGTAGCACTCCCAAACCGCATGGAAATCTCAGCTAGCTACGGGTTTAATATTACTTTGATTATCGATGTTTTCTCATGGCATAATTATGTTTTGAACAGGACAAGGATTATTGAATGCAACGAACCGTAGATCCAATATGGCGCAGGCCTAGGTGAAGCGTAACTCTCGAAATGACATCCGGTTACCAGTGACCAATCCTCTGTATTATACGTTCACGTCTCTGCTGTCAGTCATGAATACTGTTCCCGCTATAAATAAATCACCTGAAACCGCTGAGACTAGGTTATTTCAAACTCGCAATTTTACCGTTACGCCACACCTCAAAGAAAAATAAACAATTCAATTCTTTTATTCTGTAAGCCATTTCGGCTTATAAGACAAATTACATGTGTACAATACAGTTATTATATAACAATTACATACATAGCATTCATGCAATTGTACCTGTAATAAGGAGAGTAATACATGCCAGACATATATATATATATATATAAGACTATGATACTCGAGAACGTTGCTTTAATGCGAAATGTATGAATTTTCCTAGATTGTTTAGTTCTTTAACATTATTTACACTAAGTAATTGTATAAGTTTAAACACACTTGGTTTGCGATAATAGTATGGCTTTAAGTATTTAGAGCGTATGTTGCAATAAAATGGACACTTCAAAATAAAGTGAAATTCGTCCTCTATATCATTGAGATCGCATAATTCACATAACCTTTCGGTCCTAGCAGTATTCGTATATCTCCCACTTTCTATCTTAAGGTTATGTGATGATAATCGAATACGGGAGATATTTTTCTTATATAGTTTGTCAATAGGTTTTCTTAAATAAAATTGTAAATCAAAGTTATCTACCAAGTGTTGATACAATGATCCTTTGGACGAATTTCTTATATTTGACAATATTTCTTGAGTATGAATATCATAAAATTTGTGTTCTATAATTTTATACATAACCTTACTATCATAGTTGCTGTTCCATAAATACCCCAATCCTAGTAAATTCAGTTCTTGTCTTATTTTCATAATCCAGTCATCATTATCTAGATTTCTTTGTTCGTAACATGCTTTGAGTATACAATTGTCTGAGTCTTTGACTTTGATCCAATATTTCAATATTTTCAATTTTCTTGCAACATGCATCGGAAGTCTGCCTAATTCAAAATATACCAAGTCATTACATGTTTTCTTACCAACACCTAAAATATTTTTACAAAAACAAGTATGTACTTTTTCAACTTCCAACGCTCTGTGAAAACCCCAAATTTCACTCGCATACCCTAGTACACTGCTAATATACGTATCAAACACTGAACATAACGTTTGAGTGTTGAAATTGTGGTTTCTTATTTTAATATATAAAGCAAAATATGCCTTTCGTCCTTTTTCGGCAGCATGTTGTTGCGTTTTATTGAATTTTCCATTGAAGTTAAAAAGCATGCCCAGGTAGTTAAATTCGTTCACTTGTTGCAATTCATTATTGTCATAGTACCATTTTTCTTCATTTCGCACAATCCCTCCATTTCTAAATATTACTACTTTGGTCTTTTCGATATTAAGTGTGAGTTTCATGTTCACAATTGATCCGACAATTTCACGTTTTATTATTATCTTACCTCAAAATAAGGCATTGTCTGTGATTGCCATCTCTAGTGTGGTAACGAATGAGCCTCATTCACCTGTATGTGTATTGAGATTATGATACGCCTCATAGAGTTATAGGACACAAATATTGATAAATCTTCACATGGTAGTTGATTCTATTCCATGTATATTTACTGATAGCGAATATAAAATCACGTGCTTTAGAAGATTTCCCCTGGTTTTTGTTCGTTCCTACACATTATAAGTTTGAAGAACAATACCCTCTATCCATCCCCCTAGCCCACTAAAACATATTTTCCAACACATTCTGCAGGTAAAGGTATGTCTTACGTTTATAAAGACTGCTAGACGGTGGCGAATGTATGTCTTACGTTTTTAAAGACTGCTAGACGGTGGTAAAGGTATGTCTTACGTTTATACAGACTGCTAGACGGTGGTAAAGGTGTCTTATGTTTATACAGACTGCTAGACGGTGGTAAATTTTTTGGACCTTTTTTTTGCTAAAAAACATTTAATAATTGTGAAATGCACTAATGTAACGGTTCCTGACTTGGAGCATGTATATTTTGTAGTTAAAGTGTCAGGTTGTTTATGTGTTTTATTAATGAATATGATAAATTGCCATATTCAATACAANGCCTGCCGGGGTTGTCAGGTGAACCAAGTTCCCATTAACTAGATCTCGTGACCTCCTATATATAGCTAGTATACTCTCTGCATTACATAATAGGTCACTATAGTACTAGTGGTAGAATATAATTGGTTCGTTGTTCTTTTTATTCACATCTACATATTTCCTTCCAACTTCATACTTTTCAGACCAACATTTCTATAATTTTGGTATATCTAATTGTATTAAAACACATGATTTAGAAGATTTCATTTGACAGTTCTTTTGTACCTACATATTTCTCCTTTCAAAAACATTGTTTCCCCCCAAAACACCATTTATAGAGATGGATACTTTTAAAAACGTTTTCAATGTTGGGGAAATCCATCCCTTAGTTTCACAGCACTCACACATAACAGTTACACAGATCTGTATATAGAGTTTTATTATAATGTGGATCTGTGGGTGACATCATCATATACAAATATACAAATAAATAATTTACATATAAACAAATAATGATACGTCTGAAGTTCTATCTGTGCCATCATTATGTTTTCAATTTCTGTCAATCATCATGAGAGTGGTGACATAACAAAAATATTGAAACAATTATTATATTATCATCATTGAAATATGCAGTTTCGAGTTACACACATTTTGTTTTGTGTCATGTATACAGTGAAGCCTGTACATTCTGGAGTTGGTGGTTCTGTGTTATACTAAACACAATATCAGTGTCACTCTGGTCATTGACCCTTGTCTAGTCTCACATACTCCCTCAAGGGTCCTCAAGCTCAGTCTAATACAAGGATGTTTGCTGAACTCGGTTAACTCATTCATTTGAAACTGAAATCAGGTATTTACTCCTATAGAAGGTCAGGTATTTGAGATTAGTTTATAACTAACATGTACTAAGCCACTCTGCTCATTGAGCCTAGTTTAACATTGTTAAACTCACTTTGGGTTGTTCTCCTACATACTGTAAGGAGACAATCTACCCGGAGTCCAGTTTGGCCTCCTGACTCTTAAAGTTAAAAACAGTTCTTTTCTCTTACCCTGGACAGGTGTATCCGCCACCTTTACCGATGTGAGATTTCCTTGTCTCACCCTAGGGTCGAGACAGAGGGATTTCCCTATTCATAACAATGGTATGATGTCACATCAACAATACAATGACGTCACATCAACAGAGTAAGAGAAAAAGAATCTTCATGATCATCCCCTTGAGGGTGAGAGAGGGGAATCTCAAGACAATCCTCAGGGAAAGATTCCTAAGATGCCAAACACTCGGCACAGCCTTGTGTTTGGCAACTTAATCTCCTCCCTCAAGTTGAGATTCCCCTATCTCACCCCCAAAGAGATTCTATTAATCTCACAAAGTCACTGTTTAGACTCACTGGGATAACCATGTTTAATTGAGTTTGATTTAGGTTTTACCATCCCAAGTAACTAATCAGTGGCTGAGATCAAATTATCTAACCATTTAGCCAGGATTGGAGTAAAGTCGAAATTACCAGGGAGGTACTTGTGACTTGTGTATTTACCTCCCCTTCGAAATGAGTTCCCTGACACAACTGTTCATCAACGGAGAACTCTCCAGCAGACTACAGCTGGGCTGACTGGAGCAGTCAGGGTGAAATATCCTGCTCATCAAGCCTAGGCCTGGTGTGTTGACCTTGACCCGTTAGGAGTGGTGTTCTATCACACCACACCGTCTACTTTTTGTGAGGATCTATACTAATAAATTAACTCTAAGGGAGACAACTCATGACTACTAACAAAACGAAATGCCACATATTTAGGAAACACCAACTCAAAAATGCCAAGGTTTGACTACATAAATAATTGAAATACATTTCAGCAAAAGATTTGTGGAACTGGAGATTGCTAATTAAGATAATTTAACTGCATCATGCAGATGTTTATAAAAGTACTTCATAAATAAATCTATTCTCTCAAGTCTACAAGTAAAACATGGTTAAGCTGCCCATACTTTCTCCTTTATTGTTTTAAAGGATTATTTCATTAGACTCCTTCACTAAAATGTTGTTGATGAAATTGTGACAAATAGTGGCAGTGTAGCACTGTTTTACTTTGTATCACATGACAGCAATGTAGTACAGCTAGAATTGTGTAATTAACTTACACAGCAGACACGCCTCTATTGACGAGTAACTTACACAGCAGACACGCCTATATTGACGAGCAGTACGATTTTCTGTATAGGAGTATTTCATGAAGCTGACAAATAATTACAGTGTTAGAAATTAAACATTGGACACTATACAACGGACAAATACACACTATATAATCACTGTGTAAAATGGACGGAAACATTTTTGTTATACTCTAAATGTACTTATTTTAGCGCACTCAAATATTTTAGCACATTATCAAATTTTAACAGGTTGGCCTATTGATGAATAAGCACAACCAACAATATGCAATAATGAATAATATATTCAAGATCTTTGATTGACACATCATAATTTAGTGCAATAATCAAAGCGTGAAATGTGGTAAAATAAAAGTACCACAAAAATATACATGTTTACAGTTACTATAACACCTGAGGTCATAAAGATATAAAGGACGGATTTTACTCAACTACAGTTAGAGGTCTTTATATCAATGTGCGTGTTGGTGTGTGCAGGGTAAGTAGGGGTTGTCTCCCTTTGTGTGTCTGTGTGGGTAGGGTAAGTAGGGGTGGTCTCCCTTTGTATGTGTGTCGGTGTGTACAGGGTAAGTAGGGGTGGTCTCCCTTTATATGTGTGTCGGTGTGTACAGGGTAAGTAGGGGTTGTCTCCCTTTGTATGTGTATCGGTGTGTACAGGGTAAGTAGGGGTGGTCTCCCTTTATATGTGTGTTAGTGTGTGCAGGGTAAGTAGGGGTGGTCTCCCTTTGTATGTGTGTCGGTGTGTACAGGGTAAGTAGGGGTGGTCTCCCTTTATATGTGTGTTAGTGTGTGCAGCGTAAGTAGGGGTGGTCTCCCTTTATATGTGTGTCGGTGTGTGCAGGGTAAGTAGGGGTGGTCTCCCTTTATATGTGTGTCGGTGTGTACAGGGTAAGTAGGGGTGGTCTCCCTTTATATGTGTGTCAGTGTGTGCAGGGTAAGTAGGGGTGGTCTCCCTTTATATGTGTGTCGGTGTGTACAGGGTAAGTAGGGGTGGTCTCCCTTTATATGTGTGTCGGTGTGTGCAGGGTAAGTAGGGGGTGGTCTCCCTTTGTATGTGTGTCGGTGTGTGCAGGGTAAGTAGGGGGTTGTCTCCCTCTGTATGTGTGTCGGTGTGTGCAGGGTAAGTAGGGGTTGTCTCCCTTTATATGTGTGTCAGTGTGTACAGGGTAAGTAGAGGTGGTCTCCCTTTATATGTGTGTCTGTGTGGGTAGGGTAAGTAGGGGTTGTCTCCCTTTATATGTGTGTCAGTGTGTACAGGGTAAGTAGGGGTGGTCTCCCTTTATAAGTGTGTCGGGGTGTACAGGGGAAGTAGAGGTGGTCTCCCTTTATATGTGTGTCGGTGTGTACAGGGTAAGCAGGGGTGGTCTCCCTTTATATGTGTGTCGGTGTGTTCAGGATAAGTAGAGGGGGTCTCCCTTTATATGTGTGTCGGTGTGTGCAGGGTAAGTAGGGGTTGTCTCCCTTTATATGTGTGTCAGTGTGTACAGGGTAAGTAGAGGTGGTCTCCCTTTATATGTGTGTCGGTGTGTACAGGGTAAGTAGAGGTGGTCTCCCTTTATATGTGTGTAGGAGTGGGTAGGAGTGTGACCTAGTTACCAAGGCTGGAAACATCTGAGGACATTGATGTAAAAAGACAGTTTTCAATGGTTTTTCAAAAGTGTCTGTAAAGAGAATTTTAAGTATTCATAAAGAAGAATTTCAAGTTTTGGTACACAAACTGCTATGATGTTATCAGTGAAAAGCTTTGTAAAACAAATGAACATCTGGGCATTACAAGGTTAATAATAAGGTAGACAATCAAGGTACTAACAATCACCAGGTCCTTGGTTGTCCGCCCACAGTGCTATAAGTCTAGATTTGGTCCTTATGTTACAGGCAGGGGGAGGGGGCAATAGAATGTGACATGTTGATATGTTTGATTAGATGTTTACATGTTCTGCACCAGTAATATGCATATACACCAATACTGCACCGTTTAACATGATATTCACACAGAATTTAAAATACAACATTGTACTACGCTAATTCATTGTTTTCTTGTTTGATTTGTATGGCAAGACTGCAAACCCGTCCTGTTGCCAATGAATTATAGACAAAAACACATCAAAATGAAGAATTGTTCTTGAAAAATGGAGCTTGCAAGCAATGAAAAAATTTCTTCAACACAAAAATGAAGCAGAATGCTATTAATCATAGTGAAATCATCGCCTTAATTAAGATTTAGTTCTAGAAAAGAGCTAAGAAGTAAGTAATCCATTTGATCTAGCCTAACATGGCTACCAGAAGACAGAGAAACATTTCCTTACATTACATGACAGTGTTGTAACTTACATGTACCATGCCAACAATAGTGATCAGGCTAGCACTCAACATAAACATGTAGGAACTGTTCCTATATTTTAAGATCGTATGATTTCATCTGAAAGAACTCAAAATATGTCATTTATAGGGCCATTTTGTCTCTAGGGGGGGTTATTGAGCATGCAGAATCTCCCCTATGGAAGTGAAAAAAGTTGGCAAGAATATATGTAACAGGAAATATAATTCTATTTTTTTTTATAATTCTTCAATTTAAATGCAAAGAATATCTTCATGTTAGAAGTTAAGTGAGGAATCTCTATACTAATAAGTGTGGCCTGACAATGGAAACAAGAGAATGCCATCACACATTGGCAGATTGATCAGCTGACTGGCCGTCTATAACACATAGTATAGGACCAGCTAGATAACCTCTACTGAAGCCTGGTATCATGTTCTATAGATATAGCTATATAGACCTAACAAAAATACTCATAATATTAATATTGAAGACAGAATAACATTCCATGAAAACCAAATATGTTCCTTTTTACTAGTAGTGTGAGAGTTATGTACCTTCCTTTTTACTAGTAGTGTGAGAGTTATGTACCTTCCTTTTTACTAGTAGTGTGAGAGTTATGTCATTCCTTTTTACTAGTAGTGTGAGAGTTATGTACCTTGGATATTGGAAAGCTTCATATTGATATATATTGTGCTTATTACAGGCACATCAAACTCCAATATTTAAAGAAAAAAATTGAAAAGAAAATTGAATAAGTATTTTCTGGGACTCAAACAATTCACTACTACAAAAACACACTGAATATGCTCCTATGTCACATTCACCTTCAGAAAAATAATCAACTTTATAATTTGACTTGATGTATTAAACTTAAAGTCTCCATACAAACATTTGAAAACCGAAAAATAACTATGTATATATCACAGACGTTTCCTCTAAATATTTACACTGGTAACAGAGCAATCTGTTAAATCATTTGTCAGACTTACACATTTCTGCCTCAACACATCCTTACATATATCATGGACCTACTGCCACTAATACCGCGTATATATAAAGTCTACAGTCTACAATTGTCCTACGGTTAATCCTACATATACTGTGGCTAATTAACTAGAACCAGCACTTACCTACTCGTCTAGTTACGATACGACTACTTAGATCTTACTTCCCTTCTTACTGGTACAATTACAAATCTGGGACCAAACCTTCTTAAAAATGAGTCTAAATCTTTGAATTCAATGATCACTTATTCACAACTAATCTAAAGGAATATCTTCATTTGTTTTACTGAACATCAACAGTCTTAAAACAACTTATAATGTTAACAGAGATGACTGGTAACGGAAGACATATATTTAGGTACTGACTACCCAACAAAGGTATTTAAACAGCAAACTGATCAATCATCTAGTGATTCCTGTCTGACAATACTCTAGTCTTTGATACTCAAACCCTGGCACTTCTCTACCAAACTGATCAATCATCTAGTGATTCCTGTCTGAAAATACTCTAGTCTTTGATACCTAAACCCTGGCACTTCTCTACCAAACTGATCAATCATCTAGTGATTCCTGTCTGACAATACTCTAGTCTTTGATACACAAACCCTGGTACTTCTCTACCAAACTGATTAATCATCTAGTGATTCCTGTCTGACAATACTCTAGTCTTTTATACTCAAACCCTGGTATTTCTCTACCAAATGTTTCACAGGCTGTTGGTATCGGTAACTATTGTAACGTTTTTCAATATCCCAGGGTGCAGATTTGGTGACCTCACGACTTCTTGGACCCGAACTTTGCGACCTTTTCTCCGTAACCTTTTGACCTCTTCTTGGTGTGCCCACGGGAGACTCGCCAGCATCGTGATTACTGGTGTTGAGGCGTTCTGGGGAGGGATTGAACTTACGAGGTGACGTGCGGTCCAACCCTAATGTGTTTAGACCAACATCAATGCTATAGGCCTTGCGTTCCAACACTTCCAGCTCAGGGTCAGTGATTGCCCGAAGGTCATCATGTGAGGCACTTGTGCTGTCCTTGATGGGAGAAGGTGAACGGTATTTCGCTAGGCCATCCCTGAGGGAAGTGTACTTGTAATTACTGAAGCGGTAGTCAGTACGCGGCTGGTCTGTCCCGAGTTCTGGCTCCGACACGGTCTTATACAGGGACACATTGCCGTGATGTTGTGTATTCTGGGGACGTGGGTCAACAGCCACAAAGGAAGAGTTGGATGAAGATGATCGGTGTTCGTTGGACGGAGATAGAAATCTGCTTGGCAATTTGTTATGATGATCACTATGGTCAGTCTGGCGTCGGCGCGTGGTGATGAATGACTCTGGGTCGGAGTTGTCACTGGAGGAGATGGGAGATACAGTACGGAAGCTGACTAGCTTGTGTTTACCATTGATACGCGAGCCCGGTAAACTCCTAGTACGACTGTGACGCTCCTCCAGGGCACGACTCAATGTTACTTCCTTAGTCTGGCCCCGTGGAGCAGGAATTCTATCTTTAGGGGGAAGCATTGACCCATTGTTATGGCGGTCTACAGTCCGTGCACTTTGAGGGCGTTGTGAAGAACGGCTATTGTGAGGATGTTCTGATGTGTGCCCACTGTGGGTTTGATCGGCGGGTGCTCGGTTGTTGCGAATAATCCCACGCTGGGTACCGTATGATTCATCAGTGTGGGTATTGACTGGTGTATTCACTGAGCTGTACCCATTATGTGAGCGACGGTCAGTCTGTACACCGAAACGGTCAGTCTGTACACCGAAACGGTCAGTCTGTACACCGAAACGGTCAGTCTGTACACCCCTGGGAGTCCGTGTCTGGTCAACGTTACTGACTGATCCACTGTATACACCATTATTGACCCTCGACCCCTGGGATTCATGTATGTGTGACCCCTCAACTTCTCTTGTTGGGGTCGGTGTAGATGACCTTGATGACCGTGGACTCGTTGACCTTGACAGTGGTTTATCAAAAGAGATGACATCCAAAGCCTGCTCAATATCAGCAAGCTTGGCTTCAATGTTGGCTCTGAAAAATATCATCAAAAACTCCTAAATGTAGATATATATCTTTATACTGGATTCATGATGGATACAATTTTACCACACTGATGAAAACATGTATCATTATAGTACTAGTTTATCAAACAGTAAACTAAAATTTAATAATTTAATTGGAAGAAAACAAGAGCACCTGGAGAAAACCCATGTGGTCGGGCAGGTGACCCCATACCTTTTTCGTTCGGTCAGTTTAAGGTCAAAAGTTTAAACCATCAGGTTTGAAAATGAAACCAAAAATGTTGGCAATCTATGGTACTTTCCAAAATAACGAAATATGATTTTTCCTGCAGTTGTTGTATAAGAACACCTACCCCATGATTTCGTTTTGTAGTATTTTGCGAACATTCTCCATGTAGATCCGCTTGAGTTCGGAGAGCGTAGTGTTGCGTTCTTGAGCCATCTCACACCGGACCGTCTCCGCTGCTCGCATATTGGTCTCTGTGATGTGTCGCATAACATCATCTATAACACATTATCAGGGGCTCATACTAATATCATCTATAACACATTATCAGAGGCTAATACTAATATCATCTATAACACATTATCAGGGACTCATACTAATATCATCTATAACACATTATCAGGGGCTCATACTAATATCATCTACAACACATTATCAGGGGCTCATACTAATATCATCTATCACACATTATCAGGGCTCATACTTATATCATCTATAACACATTATCAGGGCTCATACTAATATCATCTATAACACATTATCAGGGACTCATACTAATATCATCTATAACACATTATCAGGGGCTCATACTAATATCATTTATAACACATTATCAGGGGCTCATACTAATATCATCTATAAATCAATATTGTTTTCAATCACATCAACTAACATAAATCGCTGATTTATCATAGATTCAAAATAACCTCCACCACAGCCCAACCTTGGTTATATATAATCCCTAGTTGTAGTTTATTTGAGCTATAACATTACATGAACCTTTTACTATATTGCTGCCTTTCATGGTGAGTAAGTTGGCTAAGACCAAGGAGTTTGTAAATTCATTGCATTTATACTAGCAGTTCCTGTATGACTAAAAAGAATCATAAATCTTAGCAGAGGAACTTTTACATTATACAGTAGGTAAGAGTGTATTCAGAATTTTCAATCTTGAGACATAATCTGGATGTTTTTTCATATAGAAGTGCACAAGGTAAGACAAAACATCTGATAAATGTGGGGGTTGATGTATTCTATTTGTGAAGAGTTATTTCCCCTGTGGAGTTTATACACCTCTGATGTAGAGTTAGCTGCCCTGACCTTTTATCTTGTTGACTGTATCTAGGTACTGCTCCCTAAGTTCCATCACACCTTGCTCATCGTCCTCAGAGTCAGTCTGAAAAAACCAGTCAAATTACATAATTAGCAAAGACCTCAAATTACAGTAACAATGTACTCTATTAAAGATGTTCTAAAGGGATTCTGTCAAGGAAAATCAGGGCCTAGGGGGTTTTGTATGAATATTAAAAAGCAATGCCAAATCAATCCTGATTTTTTGTGTGAAAATATCTAACCAGATTTTAACATACAAATACCAAGACAGACTTTCCTGTCTCAAATTACAAAGCTGGATCCCATAGTAGAAATGCTTTCCCAATCATATAGAAGACACACTGTTGGCCATTACACTAACATCAATCTAGTGACAAAATAAGCATGTCTAGAAGGGTTCTGATAGTGTTACTTCATCTAGAAGTACATTTATGACATTATTAATTCATGTTGGAGGGAATGCTTCTCCTCAGTACCAGTATACTTCTGCAAAGTTGAGGGCCTTTTAAGACCATTCTTCCTAGTCTAGAAGTGCATTTAAGACATTAGTTTGTTTAGTACCTGTACTTCTATGGAGTTGATGTCTTTCTGAGGTTGTTCCTCGTTGACCTTTAACCTCATGCCCTCCACCTGCGACCGGAACTGTTTCTTCATTGCGTCGAGCGCCACGAGGTGGGCTTTCTGCATGTCCACCATCTTGTTCTTCATGGTCTCCATAGCCATGCTGTTCTCCATCTCCAGCGATTTCTTCAGCTTGTCAATCTGAGACCTAAGCAGAAAGAGGAATGAAATGTACATTACACATTGTAGATTTCTCAATTAAGGGAACTGGGGCACATTTACTCTCACCAGGCTTGATATAACAGTGTTATGTACATGTTTTTCTCATGAAATTAATATTTGCACAGTGTATGTAGAATTCACTGACGACATGTTTGTCTATGGTGTATTATTCTTATTACATTTCTCCTGCGATAATGTGTCTTTTACTGTCTGTATTATCAGCTGATCGTCAAGAAAGGTCAGGTGATGGAAACGAAATAATCTGTGATGAGTAACTCGACCTGTCACCTAAAATAGCCTTGTCACATGGCAGACATGTGTGTGGTTGAAACTGACAGAAGTACCTGAGCCAAGTAACATATATATGTGTAGGCCCCCTGTTATAATCACCAATAGTTTAGGTTAAATGATTTTTTAACCAAATTCAAACCATTTTTTAGGTATCAATATTTTATTTACAGGCATATTTTCAATTAGCTTAATTCATTTTGGCTGGGCCATGTATACAAATTGACATTGTGATTCTAATTTGTGATTTAGTTATGGGTCTTATTTTTATTGAATACAAATGCACAAATGAGTGTTTCATATTGTATACATGCATAGACAATGCTAAACATGTAAACATAAGAACTGAGCAGCATTTTAAGAGTTATAGTAGTATAACTTAAATCAGTTACATCGTCTATAAAGCAATTTACAATGGGACTACATACCTGTAGTGTTGTAACATACCTGTAGTGTTGTAGTGTTGTAACACACCTGTAGTGTTGTAGTGTTATAACCTACCTGTAGTGTTGTAACACACCTGTAGTGTTGTAGTGTTATAACCTACCTGTAGTGTTGTAACCTACCTGTAGCGTTGTAGTGTTATAACTTACCTGTCGTGTTGTAGTGTTGTAATCTACCTGTAGTGTAGTAACCTACCTGTAGTGTTGTAACCTACCTGTAGTGTTGTAACTGCTACCTGTAGTGTTGTAGTGTTGTAACACACCTGTAGTGTTGTAGTCTACCTGTAGTGTTGTAACTGCTACCTGTAGTGTTGTAGTGTTGTAACCTACCTGTAGTGTTGTAGTGTTGTAACCTACATGTAGTATTGTAGTGTTGTAACCTACCTGTAGTGTTGTAGTGTTGTAACCTACCTGCAGTGTAACCTACCTGCAGTTTTGTAACCTACCTGTAGTGTTGTAACATACCTGTAGTGTTGTAGTGCTGTAACCTACCTGTAGTGTTGTAGTGTTTTAACATACCTGTAGTGTTGTAGTGTTTTAACATACCTGTAGTTTTGTAACATATCTGTAGTGTTGTAACCTACCTGTAGTGTTGTAACATATCTGTAGTGTTGTAACCTACCTGTAGTGATGTAACACACCTGTAGTGGTGTAACCTACCTGTAGTGTTGTAGTGTTTTAACCTACCTGTAGTGTTATAGTGTTGTAACCTACCTGTAGTGTCATAACTGCTACCTGTAGTGTTGTAACCTGCCTGTAGTGTTGTAGTGTTTTAACCTACCTGTAGTGTTGTAGGGTTGTAACCTACCTGTATGTTGTTGTGTTGTAACCTACCTGCTGTGTTGTATTGTTGTAACCTACCTGTAGTGTTGTAGTGTTGTAACCTACCTGTAGTGTTGTCGTGTTTTAACTTACCTGTAGTGTTGTAACCTACCTGTAGTGTTGTAGTGTTGTAACTTACCTGTAGTGCTGTTTGGCGTCAGTCAGGTGTTTTTCTGCTTGCCTCAGTCTGTTGTTGGTGTCCTCCTGACGCTGTTTCTGACTGACCATGTCGCGACGATATGCAGATTCCATGCCTCGGATGTTCTCCACCAGACGACTCTTCTCATCCTCGACCTTGGTGATCTTGTCCTGGTGCTTTTTCATCTCGACCTGTAACCTCTCTATCTCTGACCTAAGCTTACTAACGTTCTCAACCTCAGATGTCAGGCGTTCAATCTCGGTCTCTAGACTAGCCAGGCCTTCCTTCTCCTTCTCTAACTTCTGTACCTCGAACCTTAGTTTGTTGACCTCCTCGACCTCGGTCTGAAGTCGTTCCATCTCAGCCCTCAGGGCAGTGATGTTAGTGTTCTCCGCCTGAAGTCGTGCGACCTCAACCTTCAGCTGACTCATTGTGTTAGTCTCAGCCTCCAGCCTGGCCACCTTTGCCCTGAGCTTATTCATGCCGGCATTTTCAGCCTCAAGTCGATCCACATTTGCCCGAAGATGACTGATCTGTTCGTTCTCTGTCTCCAGTCGTTCTACCTCCGCGCGCAGCTTTGTGAACACTTCCGCCTCTATGTGAAGCTTCTCGATCTCAAACTTGAGCTTGCTTAGGTCTTCATTCTCACTCTTTATACTGTCCATCTCATTGAGTATTTTCTCTCTCTCTTCCATTAACGACTGTTTCTCAGCCAGGAGGGACTCGTTTTTATTGACCAGTGTCTGACACACCACCTTGGCAGACGACAGTTCCTCCCTTTGAGCCTGAAACTCACGCAGTACTTTAGACTGTTCAGCCATCTTTGAATTTAAATCCTGAACTTCCTTCACATACCGCTTGGTCTCCTCGAACATTTGTGCCTTCACCTTCTGAACCTCAGTCTTTACTTTGTTGTTTTCTTCAATACCAACCTCCTTGTCAGTTCTAAGGGCAAGCAACTCTACTAAAATCTTTTGATTTTCAATTTTTAAAGTTTCAAGTTCCAAAACAAGATTTTGCTTTTCCTTACAGATTTTGTTATTTTCATCTTTCAGCTTTTTGATTTCAGTTTCCAACACAGCGGTTTTATCTATCACTTTCTCCCGTTGATCTGGGCGATTACACTCCAGATCAAACTTCTGTTGCAGGCTGGCCGTCTCTGCCTCAAGCCTCCGCTGGTACGCAGACTCAAGCTCTCCACGCAGTTTCTCCACTTCCTGTGAAAGGTGAAAGTCAGCTTGCTCCAACAATGCATCTCTCTCCTGCACTTCCTGTTCCAGCCGCCACTTCTCTTTTTCAAACATTTCACGCTCTTTCTCAGTCGGTCTGTGGTACGTGGGCTGAAACACACGAAGTTACTATATAAGGATTGTCATGTAATCACACGTCTATTCTTTATCATCACTAGTCTGCAGGTTTCTCCAATTTTGTGACTATGAATGAAATTTCACTAATTTCTTTTTTCAATTTTCCCATCGTTTTACACTAAATGCTGGATTGTACCAGTGAAAAAAAGTTCTGTACAACAAACCTGTCCTTCTTTTTTAATGGAATTAAATACAAGAGGCCCAGGGGCCTTAATAGCTCACCTGGTATTTTATTTTTCAATTCAAAACCTGCTGAGTACCATTCAGGTTTATCAAAGGAGTACTAGAAACAAAGTTGCAAGAAGGAGGGCACATCTTCCATTTATAAAAATTCAATTCCCTTTGCCCAAAGATTCTCTAGAACATGTTTGGTTAGGTTAAAATCCCTTCAATGGTACAGAAGGAGAAGTTTTCGTCTATTTCCCCTAATGGGCCCCACTCATCTGCCCCAAAGAAGGGGGTCAACACACCTCAGTTTAAACAAAATTGATTCTTTTGTCCCTAAGCATGCTTCAGACTGCATTTGGTTTAAATCCCTTCACTTGTATATTAGGAGTAAACAAATCCTCTATTTCCCCTATTGGGCCCTGCCCCTATGCCCCCAAAAGGGCCCACATCCTCCGTTTATACAAACTTGAGGCTCCTTTGTCCAAAGATGTTCTAGAACAAATTTGGATAAAATCCTTTTATTGGTTGAGAAGAAGAAGATATTTAAAGATTTACCTATTTTCCCCCTATTTGGCCCCGTCCCTCTGCCCCCAGGGGGAACATACCCTCCTCTGATCCTAGATGCTGAGACTACTGTCTATAACTCTAGCTCCTCTAATCCTAGATGCTGAGACTACTGTCTATAACTCTAGCTCCTCTAATCCTAGATGCTGAGACTACTGTCTATAATTCTACCTCCTCTAGTCCTAGATGCTGAGACTACTGTCTATAACTCTAGCTCCTCTAATCCTAGATGCTGAGATTACTGTCTATAACTCTACCTCCTCTAATCCTAGATGCTGAGACTACTGTCTATAACTCTACCTCCTCTAATCCTAGATGCTGAGACTACTGTCTATAACTCTACCTCCTCTAATCCTAGATGCTGAGACTACTGTCTATAACTCTACCTCCTCTAATCCTAGATGCTGAGACTACTGTCTATAACTCTACCTCCTCTAATCCTAGATGCTGAGACTACTGTCTATAACTCTACCTCCTCTAATCCTAGATGCTGAGACTACTGTCTATAACTCTACCTCCTCTAATCCTAGATGCTGAGACTACTGTCTATAACTCTACCTCCTCTAATCCTAGATGCTGAGACTACTGTCTATAACTCTACCTCCTCTAATCCTAGATGCTGAGACTACTGTCTATAACTCTACCTCCTCTAATCCTAGATGCTGAGACTACTGTCTATAACTCTACCTCCTCTAATCCTAGATGCTGAGACTACTGTCTATAACTCTACCTCCTCTAATCCTAGATGCTGAGACTACTGTCTATAACTCTACCTCCTCTAATCCTAGATGCTGAGACTACTGTCTATAACTCTACCTCCTCTAATCCTAGATGCTGAGACTACTGTCTATAACTCTACCTCCTCTAATCCTAGATGCTGAGACTACTGTCTATAACTCTACCTCCTCTAATCCTAGATGCTGAGACTACTGTCTATAACTCTACCTCCTCTAATCCTAGATGCTGAGACTACTGTCTATAACTCTACCTCCTCTAATCCTAGATGCTGAGACTACTGTCTATAACTCTACCTCCTCTAATCCTAGATGCTGAGATTACTGTCTATAACTCTACCTCCTCTAATCCTAGATGCTGAGACTACTGTCTATAACTCTACCTCCTCTAATCCTAGATGCTGAGACTACTGTCTATAACTCTACCTCCTCTAATCCTAGATGCTGAGACTACTGTCTATAACTCTACCTCCTCTAATCCTAGATGCTGAGACTACTGTCTATAACTCTACCTCCTCTAATCCTAGATGCTGAGACTACTGTCTATAACTCTACCTCCTCTAATCCTAGATGCTGAGACTACTGTCTATAACTCTACCTCCTCTAATCCTAGATGCTGAGACTACTGTCTATAACTCTACCTCCTCTAATCCTAGATGCTGAGACTACTGTCTATAACTCTACCTCCTCTAATCCTAGATGCTGAGACTACTGTCTATAACTCTACCTCCTCTAATCCTAGATGCTGAGACTACTGTCTATAACTCTACCTCCTCTAATCCTAGATGCTGAGACTACTGTCTATAACTCTACCTCCTCTAATCCTAGATGCTGAGACTACTGTCTATAACTCTACCTCCTCTAATCCTAGATGCTGAGACTACTGTCTATAACTCTACCTCCTCTAATCCTAGATGCTGAGACTACTGTCTATAACTCTACCTCCTCTAATCCTAGATGCTGAGATTACTGTCTATAACTCTACCTCCTCTAATCCTAGATGCTGAGACTACTGTCTATAAATCTACCTCCTCTAATCCTAGATGCTGAGACTACTGTCTATAACTCTACCTCCTCTAATCCTAGATGTTGAGACTACTGTCTATAACTCTACCTCCTCTAATCCTAGATGCTGTGCTCACTGTCTATAACTCTACCTCCTCTAATCTTAGATGCTGAGACTACTGTCTATAACTCTACCTCCTCTAGTCCTAGATGCTGTAGTTTCTCCTGTAAACGGGATTCCTTCTGCTTCAGGGACTCGATCTCCTCTGCGTATCGTCTCTCAAGATCCGTCTACAAAACAGGTACCACAAACAGTTCTTAATAGTTCAAAGCCAAATCGGGAAGATTATGATTCACAAAATAGGACAAACTACATGCCCTTAGAATGCATGACCAACACTAATAAACATAGACACTTACTTAAATTTTGTGATTGAACTTGGACACCTATCTTTTATTTTACTAAATTCTGAAGAAAAAAAAATGTATATAGCTTAGTTTTATGAAAAGTATATTAGTCCTTGGCTGTGACACCAGACAAGACTGGATCGTGTTTTATAGTATGCCAAATTGATGCCCATTCTGACTGTTTCCTATACACAGAACACACACCAACATGTATATGCAGAGCCCTCTACCATAGCACTCCCTTCAGAGGACACTGAGGAAGTGTACTGTGATCAGCAGGTCTTGGCTGACCTTTCAGCTGAGATGTCATTTACTGCTGCCTCAAGTCCAGAATAGACTGGATGGGGATTACAGGCATATAGCTGATTTTATCTATCTAATCTGTTCAGAGCAGCGGGGTCAAACTTTTCCTGTGTGTGTTGTTGATGACTGTAGACAAACCTTTCCTGTGTGTGTGGTTGATGACTGTAGACAAACCTTTCCTGTGTGTGTTGTTAATGACTTAAGACAAACCTTTCCTGTGTGTGTTGTTAATGACTGAAGACAAACCTTTCCTATGTGTGTTGTTAACGACTGTAGACAAACCTTTCCTGTGTGTGTTGTTAACGACTGTAGACAAACCTTTCCTGTGTGTGTTGTTAATGATTGTAGACAAACCTTTCCTGTGTGTGTTGTTAATGATTGTAGACAAACCTTTCCTGTGTGTGTTGTTAATGATTGTAGACAAACCTTTCCTGTGTGTGTTGTTAATTACTGTAGACAAACCTTTACTGTGTGTGTTGTTAATGACTGTAGACAAACCTATCCTGTGTGTGTTGTTAATGACTGAAGACAAACCTTTCCAGTGTGTGTGGTTAATGACTGTAGACAAACCTTTCCTGTGTGTGTTGATAATGACTGTAGACAAACCTTTCCTGTGTGTGTGGTTGATGTCTGTAGACAAACCTTTCCTGTGTGTGTTGTTAATTACTGTAGACAAACCTTTCCTGTGTGTGTTGTTAACGACTGTAGACAAACCTTTCCTGTGTGTGTTGTTAACGACTGTAGACAAACCTTTCCTGTGTGTGTTGTTAATTACTGTAGACAAACCTTTACTGTGTGTGTTGTTAATGACTGTAGACAAACCTTTCCTGTGTGTGGGGTTAATGACTGTAGACAAACCTTTCCTGTGTGTGTGGCTAATGACTGTAGACAAACCTTTCCTGTGTGTGTGGGTAATGACTGTAGACAAACCTTTCCTGTGTGTGTTGTTAATGACTTAAGACAAACCTTTCCTGTGTGTGTTGTTAATGACTTAAGACAAACCTTTCCTGTGTGTGTTGTTAATGACTAAGACAAACCTTTCCTGTGTGTGTGGTTAATGACTGAAGACAAACCTTTCCTGTGTGTGTGGTTAATGACTGAAGACAAACCTTTCCTGTGTGTGTTGTTGATGACTGTAGACAAACCTTCCCTGTGTGTGTGGTTGATGACTGTAGACAAACCTTTCCTGTGTGTGTGGCTAATGACTGTAGACAAACCTTTCCTGTGTGTGTTGTTAACGACTGTAGACAAACCTTTCCTGTGTGTGTTGTTAATGACTTAAGACAAACCTTTCCTGTGTGTGTTGTTAATGACTGAAGACAAACCTTTCCTGTATGTGTTGTTAATGACTGAAGACAAACCTTTCCTGTATGTGTTGTTAATGACTGTAGACAAACCTTTCCTTTGTGTGTTGTTAATGACTGTAGAAAAACCTTTCCTGTGTGTGTTGTTAATGACTGTAGACAACCCTTTCCTGTGTGTGTGGTTAATGACTGTAGACAAACCTTTCCTGTGTGTGGGGTTAATGACTGTAGACAAACCTTTCCTGTGTGTGTTGTTAATGACTGTAGACAAACCTTTTCCCGCGTGTGTTGTTCCCGTGCAGCTCGCAGCGCCTGTGTCAGAGTGTCGTGGTGTTCCGCAGTAAACTTTTTGTAGTCTCTTTCACACTGATCTTGTATATCTTCCATCGCCTGTTTACGATCCGTATCCTTTAGGCGAGCGAGATCGGCTCGCTCCGTTTGCCAGGTCTCCTCCCTCTGTTTCAGATCCTGCTGTAGACGATCACTCTGGGACTTCAGCACCTCAATCTCCTACACAGAAATGACATATGACATTATTAACACCTTAGAAAGACTTTGGGAGATTTTAGTTATTTCAGCTGCAGAAATGTTTTAGAGATTTTAGATCAAGGTGTAGTAGTCAAGGAGAGATAAAGAGGTCTGAATAACTTTTCATTTACTTTTTGAAGCATCAAAGGACTAGGGATTTAGATTTAATTTTTATATTCATGATCTGGAATAAATAAGGTACACAAACATGAAATTTCAAATTCATCTGACAACCGGTATAGGAGATATGGCATAACAAAGAGAGGTATAGACCCGCATTATTCGTAGTAAAATGTGTGAATATCGTTGGTTGTCTGCTATTAACGTTGAAAATTGGCCATTTTGTAGCTAATTAATTAAACCCTCCTCAATTTCTGAAATCATCCGCATGCAACAAACAAATAAATATTTGACATGCTTAAACATTGTCATACCAGTGTTCATTCTTAGAAAGGATTTTTTGGCTTTATTTCTGCATGCTAACTGTCCAAAAACACCATATTTTGGCCATTTCTACATAGCAACACAATTTTATTGCTATCATGGTGGGGCATCTCAATGACCCATACTGCTACAAGTCCTTGCAAACTAGAATGTTTTCTGTCCCAAGTCCTGGCAAACTAGAATGTTTTCTGTCCCAAGTCCTGGCAAACTAGAATGTTTTCTGTCCCAAGTCCTGGCAAACTAGAATGTTTTCTGTCCCAAGTCCTGGCAAACTAGAATGTTTTCTGTCCCAAGTCCTGGCAAACTAGAATGTTTTCTGTCCCAAGTCCTGGCAAACTAGAATGTTTTCTGTCCCAAGTCCTGGCAAACTAGAATGTTTTCTGTCCCAAGTCCTGGCAAACTAGAATGTTTTCTGTCCCAAGTCCTGGCAAACTAGAATGTTTTCTGTCCCAAGTCCTGGCAAACTAGAATGTTTTCTGTCCCAAGTCCTGGCAAACTAGAATGTTTTCTGTCCCAAGTCCTGGCAAACTAGAATGTTTTCTGTCCCAAGTCCTGGCAAACTAGAATGTTTTCAAGTCCAACTGTAACTTACAATAGCCTCATGAAACAGCCAGTATATTGTGACCTAGTACTGAGACAATGAGGTAGGACCTAACTTTACATGGAAGAGAGGCGCCTGTGATAAAAACCTTCAGGTTTACCTCTTTGAGTACATTACTGGAGAGTTCTGAGGAGGAGAGATTGGCCGATACCTCAAGGTCCCTCTCCCGACTCCAGTCTGTCCGCGCCTCGTCTATCGCCAGGGATACCTGAGAAACAGCCATATTTTATGGAGATGCAACAGCAACATTCTGTTCAACGTTAATTGTCTCATACAAAGAATAGTCACTGGTAAAAGACAGTTGTTCCTCTTTGAACAAGATAGTTAACTCCACAAAGGGCTAAACGTGTCAAAATATATAAAAACATGTAGGTTTAATATATGAAATCTTCTTGAATGGGTTTTTAAGAGGAATTTCATTAGGTATTAATGGATTTCCTGGTACTAATGGTACAATGTACAACCAAACTACAATTGTATTTTGAAGGATAATGTATGGTTACAGTATATTATCTGTAGTTGTCCAACACTGAAAAGTTTTTAATTGCTGGATATTTTCTCATAACCCTATTTCTATGACTTCCAGATAAAACTAATAGCCCCTATATCAAACTTGACTATTTTACCCTATTTACAACCACTGGGTACAACCACTGGGTATATGTTAGGAGATTACCGAATATAACCAAATTTTCTTCCTGGTTGTAGATCTTTTCCCCCCAATTTCATTATTGTTTTACTGTGACAACTGAGTCATAAACTTAGGTATGACATGTGACAGTCAATAACAATGATATCAAGTGTTTGTTTGTCAAGTGAAATAAATACCAGTAGTAGATATTTTAGATCTGAGGCTCAGCCACTATTTGCCCATTGATACAGATTTTTCCTATCTCTCCTATCTGTACATGTTGTGATAAATACCTCAGCAGAAATGCGCTCCTGTGTTTGCTCCTCCATTGACTCGCGTATTTTCTCCACACTAAGCTCGTGCGACTCCTCCCAGGCCTGTTTGGCCTGCTCCAGTATCATCATGTTCTTCTGCTCCTGTTCCCTGATCAATGTGGCTTTCTCCTTGACAACTTGTTCCTGATGTGTGCTCTCCCACTTGGCTCGCTCCTTCTCAAGTCGCTCCCGCTCGTTTTTCTCTTGTTCTCCTTGTAGAAACAGCCTCTCCTGTTAACAGGGTACACCACATGATAAAACTAGAGACAGTCTCTCCTGTTAACAAGGTACACCACATGATAAAACTAGAGACAGCCTCTCCTATTAACAGGGTACAACACATGATAAAACTAGAGACAGCCTCTCCTGTTAACAGGGTACACCACATGATAAAACTAGAGACAGGGTACACCACATGATAAAACTAGAGACAGCCTCTCCTGTTAACAGGGTACACCACATGATAAAACCGTGCATAAAGTCAACCACCAGCAACTCTGATGTATCAAGCACTATACTTCTCACAATAATTTTGGAAGAAAATAAAAGAGCATTTTATATGTATTTCTGTTTTTCTCTTGAGTGCACTTCAATCTTATAGTGTTGCCTCTACAGGTAATACACTGTACTACCTAATATTGGTGTTTCTGACATGACCTAAAGAGGGGTTTCTATGATACAGGAAATGTTCAGCCTTATTTTATTTCTCATTTTTTTGTCTTGAAACATAATATTATATTCAACAAACTGAACCTTTTCAATCATGATAAATATAGAAATATATTGGTTCTTAAAGCACAAGGGCCAACGAATCTAAGTCTGAAGTTTCTGTCAATCAGACTTTAAACAAAACAGGTTGACACCCCCTCTGTATATATACTACGGCACTCACCTCCTCCAGTCGTTCCTGAATCTCGTTACTTTTTCTCCGGTTCCATTTCTCTTTCTCATTGTGTATTTTTTTCTGTGTCTCCAACTCATTATTTTTCTCCCAGTCTTTCCTAGCATCATCCAGCCTAACCTTGACCTCTTCCTCTAACCTGGCCTTGACCTCTTCCTCTAGTCTGGCTCTGACTTCTTCTTCCAGTCCAACCTTGACCTCCTCTAACTTCAATATGACCTCCATTCCAACCTTCTCTTCTAATTCCTTATCCATCTTCTTCTTCAGTTCCTCAACTTTCTTCTCCATTTCTTCCTCAACTTTCCTCTTTGACTCCTCATCAACTTTCTTTTTAACCTCATCTTCCATTTTCTTCTTCCATTTGTCAGATTCCTTTTTCACAGCCGTTTCCACATCCAGTTCTGTCTTTGTCTTGGCCCGCGACTTCTCCCTCTCTAGTGACCGCCTCATCTCAGATTGATTGTCTTCAATCCACTTTGTCCGTTCTGTTTCGAGGCGCTGTGTGTACTCAGTAGCAAGCTTTGACTCGATGGCCTCCCGTTCTGATTGCAGCTGCTTTTTAAGTTCACTCTCAAATGACAAACGGCGCTGAGCTGTCCACTCTTCCTTGGCTGTAACAAGCACATAACAATTAAAGTGAATTCAGGGTTTTTTATTTTTGGAATATTTTTGGACCAGAGCCTATTCCTGTGGTGAACTACATCTATCTTGGTTCATTGAAACAAAGCAGATTTCATTTGAATTTTTAATTTCAAGAAAACTATTCATTTACAGCAGTCAGAGAATATGGCAAAATTATCTTTATCTTTTTTGTGAGACTGTGCAAAGGATCTTTCCTAATCCAACGAGGAATGGGACAATTTCTGCCAAAACAATCTAATAATGCTACTCCAGTAGTACAAGAGTCGATCTCCGACTGTACCAAGTTCTCTAACTTTATCTAATATTGTACCTTGTTGTAGGCGAGAGTCGACCTCCGACTGTACTGAGTTCTCTAACTTTATCTTCCACTCCGTCTCTGTCAGTTTCACTGCCTTCTCTACTGCCGTCTGCTTCGCACTTCTCTGCTCCTCAAACCAGGCCACCTTAGCTAGGGCAACCTACAACAGAATAGACGGAGATTACCGTAAATATCAAACCATAGGACTGAGCTAGCTAGCCAGGCCACCTTACAAGGGCAACCTACAACAGAATAGACGGAGATTACAATACATATTAAACCATAGGACTGACCTTGCCAGGTCAGGCTAGTTATCTCCCTTAGCTCCAGGAAATCATTGCTAGAACAAAAGAATAGGGACAGATAATTGTTCGGCGATTTTCACTCAAAACTAAGTCATCTTTGCATGGAAAAGCTTCTACAGCAGAGAAAGTTTATCCAAACTTACACAAAAAGAAGACATAGGATGGCTCAGATAAACTCAGAACTAAAGCAAACTATGTATTAGGGGACACGTCTGAAGTTTGAATAAATGAAATTCTGGATATTTAGGGAACAAATGATTGTTGTTCTACTGTAGCTAACAAAAAACAATGGTGGAGGCGGGGGGGGGTTGTTCTTTTTTCAAACATAATCATGATTTATTTATTGATTTTCCTACTAAAATCAATGGCAACAGAATTGATGATTTCAGCCATACAAATAAACCTGAATTTTAAATGAAGTGAAAAGTGAAAAAATGAGAATTAACATGCATTGATTTTAGTAGGAAAATCAATAAATAAATCATGATTATGTTTGTTTTGTTACGTCTAACATTGATAATCAGCATGTCCTCAGTTCTATACTATACATGTCCTCAGTTCTATACTATACATAGAACTCTGATGGGAATTTCTGGAAATACTGAAGCACTGTAGTCAATGTTATTGTATCTTTCTTGTGCCTCAAGGTAAGGTTCTATACTATTTTTGGTCTCTCGTAACTCTTTAAGACTGGCTTTCGTCATCTGTTTTATTATATTTTATTGTATCATAATAGAGATCCTTAGCCAGAAATTCCCATCAGAATTCTATGTATAGTATAGAACTGAGGACATGCTGATTAAATTCAAAGTCAAATTCTAGACATGATGTGTTAAAACCAAAAACGTTGTGTTTCATCATGTTAAGGTATAGTGTTGGTGGATATCTCACAAAAAATGCATTCCTTTTTTTGTTGTTTTAGAAAATAAGACAATTTTTCTGTTTATCTGATTGCATTTTCATAAAACAATTATAAAGCTTAATTGATAGAAGTAATCAAGTGTTACCTGGTGTGTGCCGCTAGTTTGCCCCTCTAACACAATAAATGTAGTAGGCAGTGTGTCACCTCACGTAGCTGTCACAGTTATAACACATGGACTCTACCCACCCCGGTCAGGAATGCCTCACTGGCCACCAGCAGGTTTTATGTATTATTTTTAGAATTCAACATTATTGCCCAGACCTGTCCAATATCATAATTACAGCACCATAATTTCCACAGAAATATGAAGTGTGTATTACAAACAGAAGATTCAATGGAGTGTTGTCTAGTGTTTCAGTTGTTGCATTAGTTTGTTTGACAGAAATCCCAAGTATTTACCTCAAACTTACTTAAGCTTTATGATAAATATTTAAATCAAAAACAGATTTAAAAAAAAAGAAAAATTAATACCAAAATTAAAATTAAAAAAATCAAGTTCTAGCTTGTATTTAAAATCATTATAATTAAAAACTGATTATGATGAAAACACACAGTTGTATGATGGTTTGAAAAAAAAAAATCAAAAAATGTCATTAAGCTTGAAAGTCTGAGTTGTGTGTGTATTTGTGGATATTAGGTTGTTTAAATTACACAGAAACTGACTCAAGTGTCATTGTGTGTATTTAAACCCTCAAAGAACAACAAACAAGAACCTTATCAGCCGTTCATTGTCAACATCACTGGTGGACTTAAGTGTACCGTTACTATTGTAGGTACCGTCATTGAGATTTAACCCGGTCATTGAGATTTAACCCGACACAAACCTTTGTGTTTATTTTACTACAATATTATATCTACAAATAACAAGTACTCACTAACACACAGCACACTAACCATCTAACAGAAAGTATAAAGGTGATGGAGCAGGTGTCGGAGATACCTTATGTATACACTGTTACCAATGTCGACTCAGGGTCGGGGATAACTTATGTATACACTGTTACCAATGTCGACTCAGGGTCGGGGATAACTTATGTATACACTGTTACCAATGTCGACTCAGGGTCGGGGATAACTTATGTATACACTGTTACCAATGTCGACTCAGGGTCGGGGATAACTTATGTATACACTGTTACCAATGTCGACTCAGGGTCGGGGATAACTTATGTATACACTGTTACCAATGTCGACTCAGGGTCGGGGATAACTTATGTATACACTGTTACCAATGTCGACTCAGGGTCGGGGATAACTTATGTATACACTGTTACCAATGTCGACTCAGGGTCGGGGATAACTTATGTATACACTGTTACCAATGTCGACTCAGGGTCGGGGATAACTTATGTATACACTGTTACCAATGTCGACTCAGGGTCGGGGATAACTTATGTATACACTGTTACCAATGTCGACTCAGGGTCGGGGATAACTTATGTATACACTGTTACCAATGTCGACTCAGGGTCGGGGATAACTTATGTATACACTGTTACCAATGTCGACTCAGGGTCGGGGATAACTTATGTATACACTGTTACCAATGTCGACTCAGGGTCGGGGATAACTTATGTATACACTGTTACCAATGTCGACTCAGGGTCGGGGATAACTTATGTATACACTGTTACCAATGTCGACTCAGGGTCGGGGATAACTTATGTATACACTGTTACCAATGTCGACTCAGGGTCGGGGATAACTTATGTATACACTGTTACCAATGTCGACTCAGGGTCGGGGATAACTTATGTATACACTGTTACCAATGTCGACTCAGGGTCGGGGATAACTTATGTATACACTGTTACCAATGTCGACTCAGGGTCGGGGATAACTTATGTATACACTGTTACCAATGTCGACTCAGGGTCGGGGATAACTTATGTATACACTGTTACCAATGTCGACTCAGGGTCGGGGATAACTTATGTATACACTGTTACCAATGTCGACTCAGGGTCGGGGATAACTTATGTATACACTGTTACCAATGTCGACTCAGGGTCGGGGATAACTTATGTATACACTGTTACCAATGTCGACTCAGGGTCGGGGATAACTTATGTATACACTGTTACCAATGTCGACTCAGGGTCGGGGATAACTTATGTATACACTGTTACCAATGTCGACTCAGGGTCGGGGATAACTTATGTATACACTGTTACCAATGTCGACTCAGGGTCGGGGATAACTTATGTATACACTGTTACCAATGTCGACTCAGGGTCGGGGATAACTTATGTATACACTGTTACCAATGTCGACTCAGGGTCGGGGATAACTTATGTATACACTGTTACCAATGTCGACTCAGGGTCGGGGATAACTTATGTATACACTGTTACCAATGTCGACTCAGGGTCGGGGATAACTTATGTATACACTGTTACCAATGTCGACTCAGGGTCGGGGATAACTTATGTATACACTGTTACCAATGTCGACTCAGGGTCGGGGATAACTTATGTATACACTGTTACCAATGTCGACTCAGGGTCGGGGATAACTTATGTATACACTGTTACCAATGTCGACTCAGGGTCGGGGATAACTTATGTATACACTGTTACCAATGTCGACTCAGGGTCGGGGATAACTTATGTATACACTGTTACCAATGTCGACTCAGGGTCGGGGATAACTTATGTATACACTGTTACCAATGTCGACTCAGGGTCGGGGATAACTTATGTATACACTGTTACCAATGTCGACTCAGGGTCGGGGATAACTTATGTATACACTGTTACCAATGTCGACTCAGGGTCGGGGATAACCTATGTATACACTGTTACCAATGTCGACTCAGGGTCAGGGATAACTTATGTATACACTGTTACCAATGTCGACTCAGGGTCGGGGATAACTTATGTATACACTGTTACCAATGACGTCTCAGGGTCAGGGATAACTTATGTATACACTATTACCTATGAAAACTGAGATCGTCTAATACACTTTCAACTTCTGTTGATTATAACATTATATCAGACAGGAGCTATTCCAAATTTCAAGTGTGTTGTAAAATACTTCAATTCTGCAGACACTACCTACCTGTATAGATGGATTAGAGCGACCGGCTGTCTTAGGGTACCCGTAACATCACAGCAGAGAAGGAATCAGATATAATTAATGTCATACAGGCAGACAGTCTTTGTTTTACCAAAAACATTTCTTTCTTATTTATTCTACGATAAGATGTTAGAATTTTTTTTATTATTATCATGTTGTGTAAATATGAAAACTCGAAAATTGCCAGCTTTAAATTTGGTGGTATATAAAATTGGAGTAAGATTGCGGACAGAGTGTTATTTGTGGGGCATCATCCTTCACACAGGTCTATAATCCATACAAGGCTATAAGTTAATACTTTAACCAACCTGTAAATATTTGAGTGACACAGATCGTATCGGGGCAGTCATGAGCAGCAATCCACGACAAACTACAGATAATACTGTGCAATTAAAGTCCTTATGTTCAAGCCTAGCGAGCTTGATTAATTAATTACTTCAATTTTATTTACGTATATGTAGCGAATTCAAAAATAATTTATCAAACTGATGTTTAAAAATGAAAATGGAAAATCCTATCACTGTAGGGAAAATAGGTATAAAAATAATATGGATATTTTTTAGGTTACATTTTGGAACATGATCTGAATTGGGAAATATAATTTTATGTATTGTTAAGCTTAATGTGTATGAACTTGGGCAATTAACATTTTGGTATGTAATTATAACACACTGTCAAAATCCTATAGTTCTAGAGCTGTACTGGGGAGACCTGACCTATACCTCAATGGTTAGTAAGTACAGGTAATATCATAACAAATATAACACTATAACACACACTGTCAAAATCCTACAGTTCTAGAGCTGTACGGGATAGACCTGACCTATACCTCAATGGTTAGTAAGTACAGGCAATATCATAACAAATATAACACACACTGTCAAAACCCTACAGTTCTAGAGCTGTACTGGATAGACCTGACCTATACCTCAGTGGTTAGTAAGTACAGGCAATATTATAACAAATATAACACACACTGTCAAAATCCTACAGTTCTAGAGCTGTACTGGGGAGACCTGACCTATACCTCAATGGTTAGTAAGTACAGGCAATATCATAACAAATATAACACACACTGTCAAAATCCTACAGTTCTAGAGCTGTACTGGATAGACCTGACCTATACCTCAATGGTTGGTAAGTACAGGGATATTCATTGATTACATAGAAATACATGATAAGTGGATTCTGGTACAACATGGATTTGTACAAATCATTTCTGAATTCAGACGAAGTCGGAAACCCATCAGAATTGAGTAGGAAAACCCTGATGTATGTAGCAGCGTACTGTTACCACAGTAACAACATACTGTTACCACAGTAACAACCAACCAAAGTACAAGTTGAATCCCTATCTTATCATATTCATATATGATGCATGACATGTATTTTGAACACTACAACAGATTTTACTCATACAGGTTTGTATGGTACATATAGGTTTGTGTGGTACACACAGGTTTGTGTGGTACATACAGGTTTGTGTGGTACAATTAATTAGGTTTGTGTGGTACATACAGATTTGTGTGTTGCAATAAGGTTTGTGTGGTACATACAGGTTTGTATGGTACATATAGGTTTGTATGGTACAATTAATTAGGTTTGTGTGGTACATACATGTTTGTGTGGTACATATAGGTTTGTGTGGTACATACAGGTTTGTGTGGTGCAATTAGGTTTGTGTGGTACATACATGTTTGTGTGGTACATACAGGTTCGTGTGGTACATACAGGTTTGTGTGATACATACAGGTTTGTGTGATACATACAGGTTTATGTGATTTAAGTAATGTCAGGTGGAAGAATGATTTTTAACACAATTCATTTCTGAATTCAGTTCTTAAATGCTCAATTCTAATTATTTATTATTCAAAGTGACATTTTGAGCTAAGTTTAACACTATACATATGTAATAAGTCTAACAGTAAACATGCTAGATGTGTAAAGTGAAATCTCAATAACTACATGTAGTACCACAGGTAGCTTGCTGTACAGATCAGGGGAGGTCACTCTACTATACACAGCCTACAGCCTGCATGATGTACAAATTGTAAAATTGTAATATGGAACAGAGCAACATTACAATACACATAGGCTGTTTGGACACACATTTTCAGACTAATGCACACTGTAGGCCAGTCTGATATCTATATATACATTATTAAATGTGACACTGTAGGCCAGTCTGATATCTAAATATACATTGTTAAATGTGACATTGTATTAATGACCCCAGATGAAGGTCGAATATAAAGAGAAACAAATCCTCACTAAATTAGTTGTACAGCCAGTGGTATTAAGCTTTGAATAACAGGTCATTTTTTTTTTAAAATTAACATTTACTATAAAATTATCACTTGTTAAATAACTAAGTATGCTTGGGTCAGACAAAGGTTTTGAATCTGCTAGTCGATAATATTGAAATGACATATTTCTCAGCAGGAGTATCTGTGTCTTGTTACATATTTTATAGAAACCTCTTTCCAGATTAACGTTAGTTACCTTGGTGTCGACAGTCCGGCGGCTTTCCTCCTCTAGTTCCTTCTTCAGTTGTTCCTTTATACCAGCCTCCCGCTCCGTCCCCTCCTCCTTCACTCGCTCCATCTCCTCTTTCTTCTCATGCTCTAGGTCGGCCTTTATCTATAACGACAAGAAGAATATTGAAACACTGTAATGACTAAAATCAACAATGAAATATACTGTTGAGGTGGCTTTCTGAGAATTTTTTTAGGACAAAGATCTTTCAGGAAATTAATTTTAATAGTCAATAAATATTGATAACAGTTTGAATATGTTATATGTATAACACAGTTTGTGTTGAGATTATACCTCAGACTGTGACATTTTGTACTTCATCAAAAACAAGTTACATCTTTCAGATCAAAATAATCTTCAATTTGATGTCAAATTTTTATACAATGTTGAGAACCATTAAAAAAAAGCTGACAAAACCCCCTTTTACGTTAACCTAATAGCTAAAGCTATCATAACAAGTGGGAGGAGGGTTACCTGTTCTAGTTTGCGCACAGTGTCAGCCTCGGTCTCGGCACGCACTTCCTGTTGTATGTTGTCCTTCTCTGTACACACACGCACATACATCTGCTTCACCTCGTCCAGCTCCCGTAAGGTCGAGTTAAGGTCATTCCTTTAAACATAGAATAGTGTTATCCTTCTTTTATAAAATCATACAAAAAAACCTTCCATTTATTGTGCTTGAACAAAACTAATAAAGGATGCTTCCCCTAACTTTTCCAGACAAAAATAGAGCGCTATGTTAGGGATGATGGCAATATGTCTGTTGGAATGACAGAATGGTCTGAACATGTCAAATGTTAATTTCATTACCTTTGTGTATTGCAGATTCTGTGCCGAGATATACCTCTCAGGCAGAAATGTCAAATATAACTTGCAGACAGACTAAAGTTTCCAGCCCAATGTCATATATTACAAAGATTGTCCCCAGGATGAATCCAACCCTCGAGGTCAAAACATGGCATTTCACAGAACTTTACAAATGCAGTTAGACAACAAAAGCCCATTAAGCCTTTAGTGGAAAACATAACTCTCGTTTGATCTTCAGCTATTTTCAATTAATAAATTTTCAGAATCCATCCTCATTTTTTTTCCAGGTTGCAATATATTTTTATTAGTATATATTATTTTCAGGATTGATTCTTTTGGGATTGATCAATCCCAATTTTTTTCTTTAATAAATGTTATCTGATTTTAAGTGATTGATGCCAAAAATTTGCAAAAATATATCAAATTATTATTGGGATCAATTTTGAAAACAATGCTATCAGAAAACCTGACAGCTTTTATCTATATTTGTAATGGGACTATATGTATAAATGGCTATGAGCAGCAGCACTGTTACCAAGTTACATCAGTGAATTGCTAAAAGTACATGTTGAAAAGAGGAACTGCATGTCTGTTTTCTTGTCTGGAAAAAATCTTCTTTGATATAGGGAAAGATACTGGACTGCTGGTTTTTTATTTATATACAAAATGGTGAAAACATGGGCATTGTGATCTTAAAACTTTTATAAGGAAACAGACTTAGGATTGTCAGATGTACTGCCATAGATAAGGAATACTTGGCCTATTTTCCTTTGTTATCCTGCTGGTATAAAACGCAGTGGAGAAGTAACATTGTTTGTGAAGAAGAAGCATGTAAGGCCAAAATAAGAAATGTTGGTGATTTTTTTGCTTTTTGCTCTCAAAATTTGAGAGCAGGTCAAGGTAGACAACAGAGTATAAAGTAAACCACAGAACGTTGGAGAAGACACTAAAACTGAGGTACGTTATGTAGGGAAAGGAAAACATCTCTTTTGTCATTTGGCCTCAATGTAAATATAAGCTGCTACCTGAGATTTGTACAGTCCTCCTCATATTTATTGACCAGGCTGGCATTGTCCTCCTCATATTTCTTCTCCATTTCCTGTCGAAGCTGTGACTTGGCGACCTCATGTACCGATTCCAATGTCCTTTGACACCTGTGGAGACAGATTTTGTATAAGAGCAACAGTTTCTAGGTAAATGTATAAACCCCATTGTCCTGGAGACAGATTTTGTATTAGACAAACAGTTTCTAGGTACATGTATAAACCCCATTCAGTCCTAGAGACAGATTCTGTATTAGACAAACAGTTTCTAGGTACATGTATAAACCCCATTGTCCTGGAGACAGATTCTGTATTAGACAAACAGTTTCTAGGTACATGTATAAACCCCATTTAGTCCTGGAGACAGATTCTGTATTAGACAAACAGTTTCTAGGTACATGTATAAACCCCATTGTCCTGGAGACAGATTCTGTATTAGACAAACAGTTTCTAGGTACATGTATAAACCCCATTTAGTCCTGGAGACAGATTCTGTATTAGACAAACAGTTTCTAGGTACATGTATAAACCCCATTGTCCTGGAGACAGATTCTGTATTAGACAAACAGTTTCTAGGTACATGTATAAACCCCATTGTCCTGGAGACAGATTCTGTATTAGACAAACAGTTTCTAGGTACATGTATAAACCCCATTGTCCTGGAGACAGATTCTGTATTAGACAAACAGTTTCTAGATACATGTATAAACCCCATTGTCCTGGAGACAGATTTTGTATTAGACAAACAGTTTCTAGATACATGTATAAACCCCATTGTCCTGGAGACAGATTCTGTATTAGACAAACAGTTTCTAGGTACATGTATAAACCCCATTGTCCTGGAGACAGATTCTGTATTAGACAAACAGTTTCTAGGTATCTAGAAATCTCATTACAAAGATGGTGTGATATCTTTGAAAACAATATAAAATAATTTTCCAATTTTCATTCTGATCTGATGTTCACTGAGCATATTTTACAGGTGCAGAAAATCATTAAAATGTACTAAAACTATATTGCAACATGAAAACTGCTTGCAATACCCAGCCCCAATAACAACATAAACTTTAGTGTAGACCTTGACACCCTGATAGTTACTCATCTGAGGTTTTCTCAAACTTGAACTTTGATGAAAATCTGTTCAGATGGAAGTTGGCAGAGGGATGGGACGGGACAGACATTGGTAGCAGTCATACCCTCCCCCCTCCCCCTCCAAATATGGGCATGGTGGTGAGGGAGCGTATAATTAATCCCCCTAAAATTCATCAATTCAACATGTTTAGTGAAGCAAACTTCCTTTATAACTACAGCTGTGGGATCGCACAACGTTACACGATGTGTGGTGTGCGGGCACGGTGTGTGAACAACGTTACACAATTTGTGGTGTGCGGGCACGGCGTGTGAACAACGTTACACAATTTGTGGTGTGCGGGCACGGCGTGTGAACAACGTTACACAATTTGTGGTGTGCGGGCACGGTGTGTGAACAACGTTACACGATGTGTGGTGTGCGGGCACGGTGTGTGAACAATGTTACACAATTTGTGGTGTGCGGGCACGGTGTGTGAACAACGTTACACGATGTGCGAATGATAAAAATCTGGACCATCATTGCTTGCGCACATTGGTACGGATGATGGACGAATGTTGTGCGATGACAATAGTGGTTGGTGTAAATTAAGAAATGGCTTAACAATATTCACGGATTCGTGTTGAATATATAAACCTGATTTTGTATATTTCTATATTCTAGCTACATAATAAGCTGATCTTTCTATATTTTCTTAAATTTATAAATGGACTGTTTCGGTGTTTTTTAAACGTTTCAAATCAACACATGTAAAATTAAAATGCAGATGACACGATCCAATATACAGGTAAACATAGCCACTTTTTACATGTACGTAGAACATAGATTTCCCCACCCGGGGCACTTGCATAACTCGTCGAGGTGTGAAAATCAAGGTGAAGGGGAGCTATAAACCAAAGCAAATGCAAATAACAAATACTTTACGACCAGTAAAGTTTTCACAAGTCATACAGTATCGGCTCTCTATGCCTGGCACTTGGCGCTAGTTAAAACTTCAGTCACTCATCAAAATGTTATTTACCTGTTCTGTTACCTGGGACCATAACCCATTCTTGACAGTCTAAAAGTCACTGTAATACTGTGTAATACGCATTATAAAATTGAACACAATCTTAATTGATATGATGAGAAATTTGTATATACAGTGTTCCTTATTCCATACGAGCCTTCAGAATTTTTTCATTCCATAATATTGATCAACTAATTGTAACAAATCGCACATTTGTGTGGAGAGAAGCACACAACGGGGCGAACGATTGTTAAATCGCACAGTTGTGCGCACCATGTGGACGATGTGCGGACGGTGTGTGCACGCTATTTTTAGTGCGTTGTGCAGCCACACAACTGTACATTTGAATTCAACAATACTCTCCCTGTTCTGTCTCTCTGAGTTATGCAGACATGAGTGTCTATCTGATCACACTGACCTCTTACTCTTAAATGTTAGGCCATCCAAGATATCTATAGGGAGTATATAAAATCCAGGAATCTCCACCAGCTGACTGTATTATAGAACACACAACCTCCCACCACTACACTCAACACTAGACTACCATAACTACAGCATAGAGCTAGTCTCCTCTTGTTTCATGACACAGTCATAATGTTAAGAAATCATGGTAAGTCATTTGTAATTTCCACAGAGCTAGCTCAAAAAAAATATTTTTCATGTTGATGTTGATGATTTTAGCAAAGTTAAATCACACACACACACACACACATAATATATACATAATGTATATTTTTTGTTAATCTTTTACTATTTTACGTTAACTAAAAATTGTGAGGTGATCCACCTACCTGACCAACAGGTGTGTACATACTACATTAATAGCAGAGGTCTAGTTACCCCGATTTTGATCAGAGACAACAGATGATCTATAGATATGTGTCCAGGACACCCGATACATCACCATGTGACCAGCCATACCCAGCACACTACACACTGACGTACAATGTTGTGATACCGGACACTACCCAGCACACCGCCCTGACATATAACTTTGTAATATTACCTGGTATGATACCAGTCGACAAAAGATCAGCTAAAACAACACATACATATTTCAGTACTGCATTTACCATGGTCCTACTTAGTATCATGAAGAAAAAGCAGAATTCTGTAATTATCTGTATCAATCAATACCCATCCTTGGAAAGCTATACATTGTCACATAATACCCTTACACTGTTAGGCACATGTAGTAACACTAGAAAAGGAAAAATTGTATTAAGAATTTCCCAATCTTATATTGAGGATCAAATAATTATTTATTAAATATCAATTCAAAAAACAATTTCTGTTACTTTCATATCTTTCACAGAAAATTCTTGCTGGTCAAATCTGCATTATCTTTTTTATGATTTAAAGTTTAATATCAATAATGTTGGTTAAATTAACATGTTCTTATCACTACAAGCTGGGAATTCTAGGAACATGTAATCCTACTAACAAACACCTTTATTTACCAGTAGTCATTCAAGCAATAGACCTGGATAATCTTTTTTATCATAAATGTTTAATTACTCAAAATGATTCTGGTTGAACTCTTGTAGACTGTCTAGATAACAGATCTAGAATGTTACATGTAATTTAATGGATTCAATTAATGTCACATTGTTTAATATCATGTTTTCCTAACGACACAATTTTCCTCTCTATATGTTTCATTTAATTTGGTTTGTTTTGTTTAATACCATGTGATTAACAGTAACTCCTCTTGTTGTCATGTGATTACCAGTACCTCCTCTTATTGTCATGTGATTACCAGTACCTCCTCTTATTGTCATGTGGTTACCAGTAACTCCTCTTACTGTCATGTGATTACCAGTAAATCCTCTTATTGTCATGTGATTTCAAGTAACTCCTCTTATTGTCATCTGATTACCAGAAACTCCCCTTATTGTCATGTGATTAACAGTTACTCCTCGTATTGACATGTGATTACCAGTAACTCCTCTCATTATCATGTGATTACCAGTAACTACTCTTATTGTCATGTGGTTACCAGTAACTCCTCTTATTGTCATGTGATTACCAGTAACTCCTCTTATTGTCATGTGATTAATAGTTATTCCTCTTATTGTCATGAGATTAACAGTAACTCCTCTTATTGTCATGTGATTACCAGTAACTCCTGGTATTGTCATGTGATTACCAGTAACTCCTCTTATTGACATGTGATTACCAGTAACTCCTCTTATTGTCATGTGATTACCAGTAACTCCTCTTATTGTCATGTGATTAACAGTAACTCCTCGTATTGTCATGTGATTACCAGTAACTCCTCGTATTGACATGTGATTAATAGTAACTCCTCGTATTGTCATGTGATTACCAGTAACTCCTCGTATTGACATGTGATTACCAGTAACTCCTCGTATTGACATGTGATTAAAAGTAACTCCTTGTATTGTCATGTGATTACCAGTAACTCCTCATATTGACATGTGATTAACAGTAACTCCTCTTATTGTCATGTGATTACCAGTAACTCCTCTTATTGTCATGTGATTACCAGTAACTCCTCGTATTGTCATGTGATTACCAGTAACTCCTCTTATTGTCATGAGATTAACAGTTACTCCTCTTATTGTCATGTGATTAACAGAAACTCCTCTTATAGTCATGTCAGTTGCTAAACAATATCCCATGTAGCTAGAGGTGACATGTACCGACTATGAAAACTTTGCCAATCACCTTCCTAATGATGGGCATGACACCTGGGCCCAGTTGTTTCAAAGGTAATTAGCCTTCAAATAACTGTTAATGATATTTTCAACCTCTAACAATTTGGTCAATATAAAGATAACAAGAGGCCCAATGGGCCTGCATCGCTCACCTGGTATTAATCTCACACTTGTAATCTTAAAAGTGGACTAAAATACAGCTACAGGCAGAATATCAGTGTTTGATTCATAAGAACCTATTAAAAGATTTAAACATATGACGCCTGTGACCTTGAATATCGAACAAGGACATTAGGTTGAACAGAGTTTATAGTCTTCCAACCCAGCATGCTTCTGGCAAAATATCAATACCCTGGACCTTTTGGTTATACAGAACAAATCATTTAAAGATTTAAACATATATTGACCACTGTGACCTTGAATATGGGTGAAGGTCATTCACTTGGTAGTCCTTCATCCCAGCATGTTACTGGCATTATACTAGACCTCTTGGTTATTCAGAAGAAGTTGTTTAAAGGTTAAAAACATATTTTACCCCTGTGACCTTGAAAAAAGATGAAGGTCATTCATATGAACATACTTTGTAGCCCTTCATCCCAGCATGTTACTGGCCAAATATCATCATCCTAGGCCTCTTGGTTATTCAGAAGAAGTTTTTTAAAGGTTTTAAATATATTTGACCCCTGTGACCTTGAATATAAATCAAGGTCATTTATTTGAACAAACTTGGTAGCCCTTCATCCAAGCATGTTACTGGCCAAATATCATCACCCAAGGTCTCTCAGTTATTCAGAAAAAATTGTTCAAAGGTTTTAAACATATTTGACCCCTGTGACCTTGAATATAAATCAAGGTCATTTATTTGAACAAACTTGGTAGCCCTTCATCCAAGCATGCCTCTGGCCAAATATCATCACCCTAGGCCTTTTGGTTACTGAGAAGAAGTTGTTTAAAGTAAAAAGTTGACGCCGGACAGACGCGGACGCCGAACCATGCCATAAAAACTCGTTATTTTGCATGTTATTCTACTCGATTAAAATATCTGCTGTATGGAAAGTTTTTCTTGTTAATGGTCATGCTTTAGAGATACGTAAAGATAAAATTTGAGCTAACTACTCATGAAGCTAATCATCTTTTGAACAGCTGGGCCCTGGGATTGGTGTTCAAAAACCGCCCATACAGCTGTAGTCTCACGGGATCTGGCTTTAATGTTACATGACCAGGGCAGTGTTGGCATCACTTAAAATAGGATTTCTTTAAAAAGTTCCATAATGTAAAATTAATGTTCTCTAACTTTCGCTAAAAACTGAATGTTGTTTTTCATTTTATATCACATTTTTTTCATCTGAAAGTGACATGACATTGTTATTGAAAGGAATGGTACCAAAATAAGGAAATACTAGAAAGACTAATCTTAGTTATCTTATCACAATTAGCTAGAACTGAATTGGACCAGGAAAACAGTTTGAGAAGTGAATCAGTGCAGGTAAACAGAAACAATTCCAAAGGTACACCGTCTCTGATTCTACAAGAAACAAGCCACAGAACACTGTCTCTGATTCTACCAGAAACAAGCCACAGTACACCGTCTCTGATTCTACCAGAAACAAGCCACCGTACACCGTCTCTGATTCTACCAGAAACAAGTCACAGTACACCGTCTCTGATTCTACCAGAAATAAGCCACAGAACACCGTCTCTGATTCTACCAGAAACATGCCACAGTACACCGTCTCTGATTCTACCAGAAACAAGCCACAGTACACCGTCTCTGATTCTACCAGAAACAAGCCACAGTACACCGTCTCTGATTCTACCAGAAACAAGCCACCGTACACCGTCTCTGATTCTACCAGAAACAAGCCACTGTACACCGTCTCTGATTCTACCAGAAACAAGCCACAGTACACCATCTCTGATTCTACCAGAAACAAGCCCCAAAAACTGTGGTAAATGGTTTCATATTTAGAAAATGAAATCACTTTTAATTCCTGTGTCAGGGAAGAATACCAGCAGTAAGCTGATGACAAGTACATGATGAGAAGAAGGCAACTAGTTGCATGTTCACAATTTTGGAAAAGTCGAGTTACTGCATAAGAATCAACAGGAAACATAATCACCATCTTAATTCCATAGGCTACCAGTGTAGGAAGTTTGGCTAAGGGAAGAGTGTTGACCTAAAGGAATCCAATTTTAGTCTATAACAAACTACCAGGGGGCCTTTATATGATATAAGGTTGTTATAGACATAATCAGTTATAGAGGCCTGATGTCCAGGAGACAACCAGCACGAGGTATAAATACCAGGGGGCCTTTATATGATATAAGGTTGTTATGGACATAATCAGTTATAGAGGCCTGATGTCCAGGAGACAACCAGCACGAGGAATAAATACCAGGGGGCCTTTATATGATATAAGGTTGTTATAGACATAATCAGTTATAGAGGCCTGATGTCCAGGAGACAACCAGCACGAGGAATAAATACCAGGGGGCCTTTATATGATATAAGGTTGTTATAGACATAATCAGTTATAGAGGCCTGATGTCCAGGAGACAACCAGCACGAGGAATAAATACCAGGGGGCCTTTATATGATATAAGGTTGTTATAGACATAATCAGTTATAGAGGCCTGATGTCCAGGAGACAACCAGCACGAGGAATAAATACCAGGGGGCCTTTATATGATATAAGGTTGTTATAGACATAATCAGTTATAGAGGCCTGATGTCCAGGAGACAACCAGCACGAGGAATAAATACCAGGGGGCCTTTATATGATATAAGGTTGTTATAGACATAATCAGTTATAGAGGCCTGATGTCCAGGAGACAACCAGCACGAGGAATAAATACCAGGGGGCCTTTATATGATATAAGGTTGTTATAGACATAATCAGTTATAGAGGCCTGATGTCCAGGAGACAACCAGCACGAGGAATAAATACCAGGGGGCCTTTATATGATATAAGGTTGTTATAGACATAATCAGTTATAGAGGCCTGATGTCCAGGAGACAACCAGCACGAGGAATAAATACCAGGGGGCCTTTATATGATATAAGGTTGTTATAGACATAATCAGTTATAGAGGCCTGATGTCCAGGAGACAACCAGCACGAGGAATAATTACCAGGGGGCCTTTATATGATATAAGGTTGTTATAGACATAATCAGTTATAGAGGCCTGATGTCCAGGAGACAACCAACACGAGGAATAAATAGTCCGGACAGATGTGTTTATAGTAAACATGATTTACTGTACTCCAGGGTCACAAAGTCAAATAAGGTATAGTACAGAACAGAAGTGTTTGACGACGAAAATACCGTTTTACGCCTGATAGCTGTACCTACAGACAGGAGAGTAAAGGAGGTTGTACATAGATAGTGACGACTGAATGTTATTTTGTTCGTCTGACTTGAGTTAGTCAAGTTGGAAAAGACCAAAACATAGGTTTAACATTTCACTGCCAAATGATTTAAAAAGGGATTAGGCACAAACCTATTATGAACTAACACCTACTAAGACACAAGGCTCATGTTAGTGTTGTAGTGCATAGCATCATGTAAAGAAACTACTACTTGATGAGATTATAATAAATTGTTGCTACCTGTCGAGCGCCTCACGTTTGTCGTTGTCAAAGTCCTGTACCATCTGAGAGATCTGCTTGTTAAGTTCCCCGTTCATGTCTGTCAGCTTCTCCTCACTGCTACCAACCTCCTCCAGCCTCTTCTTCAGGTCCTAACAAAGGTACCACAGGTAAGTACAACACACAGGGCACAGGTATCACAGGTAAAGAACAGGTACATAAATAGGTAAGAACAGGAACATAGTGTACAGGTACCACAGGTAAGTACAACACACAGGGCACAGGTATCACAGGTAAAGTACAGGTACATAAATAGGTAAGTACAGGAACATAGTGTACAGGTACCACAGGTAAAGTACATCACACAGGGCACAGGTATCACAGGTAAAGTACAGGTACATAAAAAGGTAAGTACAGGAATATAGTGTACAGGAATATAGTGTACAGGTACAACAGGTAAGTACAACACACAGGGCATAGGTATCACAGGTAAAGTACAGGTACATAAATAGGTAAGTACAGGAACATAGTGTACAGGTACCACAGGTAAAGTACATCACACAAGGCAAAGGTACCACAGGTAAAGTACAGGTACATAAATAGGTAAGTACAGGAACATAGTGTACAGGTACCACAGGTAAAATACATCACACAAGGCAAAGGTACCACAGGTAAAGTAGAGGTACATAAATAGGTAAGTACAGGAACATAGTGTACAGGTACCACAGGTAAAGTACATCACACAAGGCACAGGTATCACAGGTAAAGTACAACACACAGGGCACAGGTATCACAGGTAAAGTACAGGTAAATAAATAGGTAAGTACAGGAATATAGTGTACAGGTACAACAGGTAAGTACAACACACAGGGCATAGGTATCAAAGGTAAAGTACAGGTACATAAATAGGTAAGTACATGAACATAATGTACAGGTACCACAGGTAAAGAACAGGTACATTGATTGTCCAATACTATTTATTATTTGTTCAATATTTAATTGAATTACATTTATTTTCTCTTAAGAAAACGATCTTGACATAATTTGGGGGGGAACGTTTTTTGTTTTTTTATTAACAGGAATGGTAATGTTTCATGGACTGAGCAAGGGAGGTGATAAATTGAGGTGTAACTGGACACCTACATGTCAATAGTATACACAGAAGACAGTCCCTACCTCTATATCCTCCAGTAGTATCTCCTTCTCCCGACACAGGTTGTCTATATCCTTTTTGAGTCGTCCCTCCACAGCACTCTTCCTGTCACCTGATCTAGTTAGCTCCTCCCACTCATCCAGGCGTTTCTACAACCAGTAACAGGCTATTTAAGTCACCTCCCAAACAGAATTTACTGTCTACAACCAGTAACAGCCTATATAAGTCACCTCCCACACAGAATTTACTGTCTACAACCAGTAACAGCCCATATAAGTCACCTCACATACAGAGTTTACTGTCTCCAACCAGTAACAGCCTATATAAGTCACCTCACACACAGAATTTACTGTCTACAACCAGTAACAGCCAATATAAGTCACCTCACACACAGAATTTACTGTCTACAACCAGTAACAGCCTATATAAGTCGCCTCACACAGAGTTTACTGTCTACAACCAGTAACAGCATATATAAGTCCCCTCACATACAGAGTTTACTGTCTACAACCAGTAACAGCCTATATAACTCACCTCACACACAGAGTTTACTGTCTACACCCAGCAACAGCCTATATTAGTCACCTCACACAGAGTTTACTGTCTACAACCAGTAACAGCATATATAAGTCCCCTCACATACAGAGTTTACTGTCTACAACCAGTAACAGCCTATATAAGTCCCCTCCCACACAGAATTTACTGTCTACAACCAGTAACAGCCTATATAACTCACCTCACACACAGAGTTTACTGTCTACAACCAGCAACAGCCTATATTAGTCACCTCACACAGAGTTTACTGTCTACAACCAGTAACAGCCTATATATGTCACCTGACACAGAGTTTACTGTCTACAACCAGTACCAGCCTATATAAGTCCCCTCACACACAGAGTTTACTGTCTACAACCAGTAACAGCCCATATAAGTCACCTCACATACAGAGTTTACTGTCTACAACCAGTAACAGCCTATATATGTCACCTGACACAGAGTTTACTGTCTACAACCAGTACCAGCCTATATAAGTCACCTCACACACAGAGTTTACTGTCTACAACCAGTAACAGCCTATATAAGTCACTTCACACACAGAGTTTACCGTCTACAACCAGTAACAGCCTATATAAGTCATCTCACACAGAGTTTAATGTCTACAACCAGTAACAGCCTATATAAGTCACCTCACACACAGAGTTTACTGTCTACAACCAGTAACAGCCTATATAAGTCACCTCACACACAGAGTTTACTGTCTACAACCAGTAACAGCCTATATAAGTCACCTCACACACAGAGTTTACTGTCTACAACCAGTAACAGCCTATATAAGTCACCTCACACACAGAGTTTACTGTCTACAACCAGTAACAGCCTATATAAGTCACCTCACACACAGAGTTTACTGTCTACAACCAGTAACAGCCTATATAAGTCACCTCACACACAGAGTTTACTGTCTACAACCAGTAACAGCCTATATAAGTCACCTCACACACAGAGTTTACTGTCTACAACCAGTAACAGCCTATATAAGTCACCTCACACACAGAGTTTACTGTCTACAACCAGTAACAGCCTATATAAGTCACCTCACACACAGAGTTTACTGTCTACAACCAGTAACAGCCTATATAAGTCACCTCACACACAGAGTTTACTGTCTACAACCAGTAACAGCCTATATAAGTCACCTCACACACAGAGTTTACTGTCTACAACCAGTAACAGCCTATATAAGTCACCTCACACACAGAGTTTACTGTCTACAACCAGTAACAGCCTATATAAGTCACCTCACACACAGAGTTTACTGTCTACAACCAGTAACAGCCTATATAAGTCACCTCACACACAGAGTTTACTGTCTACAACCAGTAACAGCCTATATAAGTCACCTCACACACAGAGTTTACTGTCTACAACCAGTAACAGCCTATATAAGTCACCTCACACACAGAGTTTACTGTCTACAACCAGTAACAGCCTATATAAGTCACCTCACACACAGAGTTTACTGTCTACAACCAGTAACAGCCTATATAAGTCACCTCACACACAGAGTTTACTGTCTACAACCAGTAACAGCCTATATAAGTCACCTCACACACAGAGTTTACTGTCTACAACCAGTAACAGCCTATATAAGTCACCTCACACACAGAGTTTACTGTCTACAACCAGTAACAGCCTATATAAGTCACCTCACACACAGAGTTTACTGTCTACAACCAGTAACAGCCTATATAAGTCACCTCACACACAGAGTTTACTGTCTACAACCAGTAACAGCCTATATAAGTCACCTCACACACAGAGTTTACTGTCTACAACCAGTAACAGCCTATATAAGTCACCTCACACACAGAGTTTACTGTCTACAACCAGTAACAGCCTATATAAGTCACCTCACACACAGAGTTTACTGTCTACAACCAGTAACAGCCTATATAAGTCACCTCACACACAGAGTTTACTGTCTACAACCAGTAACAGCCTATATAAGTCACCTCACACACAGAGTTTACTGTCTACAACCAGTAACAGCCTATATAAGTCACCTCACACACAGAGTTTACTGTCTACAACCAGTAACAGCCTATATAAGTCACCTCACACACAGAGTTTACTGTCTACAACCAGTAACAGCCTATATAAGTCACCTCACACACAGAGTTTACTGTCTACAACCAGTAACAGCCTATATAAGTCACCTCACACACAGAGTTTACTGTCTACAACCAGTAACAGCCTATATAAGTCACCTCACACACAGAGTTTACTGTCTACAACCAGTAACAGCCTATATAAGTCACCTCACACACAGAGTTTACTGTCTACAACCAGTAACAGCCTATATAAGTCACCTCACACACAGAGTTTACTGTCTACAACCAGTAACAGCCTATATAAGTCACCTCACACACAGAGTTTACTGTCTACAACCAGTAACAGCCTATATAAGTCACCTCACACACAGAGTTTACTGTCTACAACCAGTAACAGCCTATATAAGTCACCTCACACACAGAGTTTACTGTCTACAACCAGTAACAGCCTATATAAGTCACCTCACACACAGAGTTTACTGTCTACAACCAGTAACAGCCTATATAAGTCACCTCACACACAGAGTTTACTGTCTACAACCAGTAACAGCCTATATAAGTCACCTCACACACAGAGTTTACTGTCTACAACCAGTAACAGCCTATATAAGTCACCTCACACACAGAGTTTACTGTCTACAACCAGTAACAGCCTATATAAGTCACCTCACACACAGAGTTTACTGTCTACAACCAGTAACAGCCTATATAAGTCACCTCACACACAGAGTTTACTGTCTACAACCAGTAACAGCCTATATAAGTCACCTCACACACAGAGTTTACTGTCTACAACCAGTAACAGCCTATATAAGTCACCTCACACACAGAGTTTACTGTCTACAACCAGTAACAGCCTATATAAGTCACCTCACACACAGAGTTTACTGTCTACAACCAGTAACAGCCTATATAAGTCACCTCACACAGAGTTTACTGTCTACAACCAGTAACAGCCTATATAAGTCACCTCACACAGAGTTTACTGTCTCTATTACCTGGTTGTGACTAATCTCTGTCTCAACAGCACTAAATCATTAATGAACTACTTACTAGGTGTATCGACTTTTAAACTAACGATTTATAAATTTCTAATATTTACATATTTGTATAATTGTATATGATCTATACCTTGTAGTCCGCAGAGGAGAGTTCGGCACGTTCACATCTTCGTGTCAACTCCCCAATATCTTTTTTTGCTGCACGTAGCTCCTCCTGAATTTGAGCTACCTGCTGTCGTTTCTGTTTGTTGCTAAGGAGACAGCGCTCCAGCTCCGCCTTCAGACCCGTCACCATGTCATCAGAGGCGGAGCCATCAAAACGACTACTCTTCAGGCCAGTACTGTAAACAGGAGGACAACCATCAGTAATCCAGCACCTACACTCTATTACATTTAACCGGGTTTTGTGTTTTTGATATTGTAAAGGAATTACCCAAATTTCACATGTACAATTCTGAACATATTTTACAAACACATCCCAGGGAAGTGCAAACAAATCTTAAAAAGAATGCTACTTTACAAACAATCTTCTATGACCAATATAGCAATAAAGGATACAACAGGAATATACCTCAGCGATTCAAATAACGAAATGACGAAATGACTTCTCAACTAGCTAATTTTTTGGTTGTAAGTGGAGAAATCCAGTTTACCCACGCAAGTTACTGTAATTGCTTTTTTCAACCAGGTAAGTCAAGCTCAAATTGATGAAAATTTTATCAATTTCCTTCCAAAGATATAAGATGTTTAGGAAGCCTGATGAAACCATAAGTAGGTTACAGCGCTAGCACTAGAACTGTCTCCTTTTTCGTTTATTTATTTTTATGGTACATGTACCATCATACAAACACTGTTTGTTTCTATGAAATTTAGCTATACTAGGTATAACAATGTTAAAGCGTGTTGGGAAACCCTAGTAATTCCATTCTGGGCAATTTGTTTTATTTCAATAACTTATCAGGTGCACACACTGTGTTAAAGTTTAAGATACCTAATTACCCAGTAACAATTCACATTGACCAGAATCTCTGATTTGTGCCTCAGTTCTGACAAGTACATGTCACTGCTTACCTTGGTTTGGATTCTGGAGTGTCAAAGTCAAGTGTTTTCTTTATGCCTAGGTCGAGTAGGGAATCGTCATGAGTAGGATGCCTGAGGTCAGACGAAGCTTGACCAGTGGTCAATACACCCAGTGCTGATGCTGACTCAAACATGGACAGCTGTTCCTTCAGGTCCTGGACCTCCTCCTGGTCAAGTTGATATATACAATGTTATAATCACATCAAATCCTCTTTATATCAATTTAACAAATGTAGATACATGACAATAACATTTTTAACAAGAGGCCCATAGGGCCTGTATCGCTCACCTGGATATCTAAGCAATCATGGCAGAATATTCTCCAAATGAGATCCAAGAGAATATGCCAGACCCCAAGGCCAATCCTTGTAGCATATATATCTGTATTCAATTGTTCATGCCCAGCAATTTTATGTATGGTTATGGGGTGGGGATCTCAACTGTTTCCAAGCTTTGACTCAGAAACTAGGTCCCTACGGTTGTGGCCAGACCCCAGGATCAATTCTAATATCATGACTGCATTTGTCTCTTTTTGCCCAGCATTTGTATATATAGTTTTGGGGTGGGGATTTCAACCGTTTCAAAGTTATGACCCAGGGGTTAAGTCTGCAAGGGTGGGGCAAACCCTGGGGTCAATTCTAATATCATGACTGCATTTGTCTCTTTATGCCCAACAATTGTATATATAGTTTTGGGGTGGGGATCTTAACCATTTCAAAGTTATGACCCAGGGGTTAAGTCTCCAAGGGTGGGGCAGTCCCCAAGGCCATCCTGGAAGCATATGTGCATTCATCTCTTTGTAATCGGCAATTGTCTATATGGTTATAGGGTGGGGATCTCAACTGTTTCCAAGCTGTGAC